GAGAAAACAAGGACACAAAAATGACTTATGAACACTCACAAACAGCATCAAGTAACGTACAAAGTCCAGTTCAAAGCCAACAAACTCCAGACATCTTTTGGGCTTAAAAAAATGCAGAAAAAAGGCTGGTCTGGACTAGAGGGAGTCAAATGGTAGCTTCAAAGGCAAAATCCCAGGCTCAGCTGAAATCCTACTTTCTGAAGGAATCCTTTCCCAGTCTCCCAGTGGCAGAATACCTTCCCCTTTCAGATTGCCGTCATCTATTCTCTCTCTATTCATTCAAAATGAGAACCTGGAAAGACTTTAGCTTAAAAGGGCCAAGGTCTCCCACTGCATCCTGGACCCTCTCCAGTGGTCCTGACTGCTATCTAGCCACTGGATCCAGATGGCTCTGGAGGAGAAAGTGAGGCTGGTGACCTTGCATGGCCCTCCCTTACTTAAATCCAATTCACTTGCAAGTCATGGCATCCCCTTCCTAATGTCACCGTCCTCTTCAGAACCGAGGTCTGTATTCACAGGCCATCACATTGGCCTTGGAGGAGGATGGCTCTGAGACCTGTCTCTTTATAGCACTTCCTCTCTCAGGGGAATACAGCCAGGCAGTAAAGGGCAGCTAGGTGGCCCAATAGATAGAGCGCTGGGCCTGGAGTCAGGAAGATGCATCTTCACAAGCTAAAATCTGGGTTCAGACACTTACTAGTTATGTGACCCTGGGCAAGTCACTTCATCATTTGAAAAATAAGCTGGAGAAGAAAATGGCAAACCACTCCATTATCTCTGCCAAGAAAATCCCAGATGGGGTCACAAGGAGTCAGACACAACTGAACAAGAAGAAGAAGCAAAGAGAGAGCCCAGTCAGGATCCAGGTTCTGGTTGGCTAATGGCCTTTGAATGCACCTTAGCCAATCATAGTCTGTCTTGTCATTGCTTGGTCCTTGCCTACAAAACATTTGCATGTACCCCAAATGAGGGAGCAGGGTCCTTCTATGATGTGTCATTTTGTCTTTCCTAAAGCAGGCTCTCCAGCCTCTTCCATGTGGAAAATTGCACCACCACCCTGCTCCTGCCTATGTCCTGCCCCCCATTATATATGTTTTACTTTTCCCTTATCTATGTACTTGCTGCTTGGTCCTAATAGAAATTTCCATTTCTTTAAGGGAAGGTTTATTTTTGACTGGTATCCCCAGTACCTACCAGTCAAAAAGGAAAAAAGAAAAGAAAAAAACAAACAAACACGCACAATCAAAAACAAACACATAGAAGGCTTGTTGAATTGACATGAACAGAGCCACCCTGTGAGACAGGCAAGGCAAATATCCCCAGTTTACTACTGTGAAAACAGGCCCAGAGTAGTTAAGCCACTTGTTCAATATCACACAGCTAGTAAGGGAGAGAGCTGAGACTGGTCTTCAGACTTCAGAGTTTCTGTTCTCTAATACTGTGCTCTCTAAATGTGAGTCTTCCTGGAGTAGACACCAGGAGCTACATCTCAATGGGAGAGGGTAGTCTTGCTCTGTGGGTCTACAGGAACCTGGCCTTGTCACACTTTTCAAGTAGCAGAGCAACATGGTTCTTTGTCAAACAAAAGAAAACAGTTCATTTAAAAGAAAAATAGCAAGACATCTTCAGCCCAGGTTGGGTCAGGGGCCATTTCTTACTAAGGCAACCTCATATAAACTGGGAGTAACGTGTCTCCAGGGGGGAATTTTTCTCTCGTCCTGTGCTATCCCTATTCTATTTTTCTGCTAGCAAGGTTGAATGTAGTTCTACCACAGCTGGAAACAAGAAACAAGCCAATTTCCCGGGTTTCCACATGGTTTATTTAAGAGATAATGTCAGTGGAATAGAAGGTAGTCAGAACCAAAGTGCTGCATGATGAATGCTGAGCCAGGAAAACGTTTATTTCCAGAGTGGAAGACATTCATCATGTAACATCCTTCACTTTCCCTCTTATATGAAATGATCAATGAGGTAGATGTTGTGTTTTTGCCTGATAGTTGTTGATGAAGTAGTGACTCACTACTCACTGAAGTTGTTATGGAAAATGTGTTTGCTGATTGGTTTAGCCAACTGGTTCTCCCTCAGCCAATCCTAAGAGTGCAATTAGAAAGAAAAATAGACTGGCTTATTGGTTTTTGTTGAGTTGGCTAAAGTTAAGAGGAAGGTACTTTTTACTGTAGCACTTAGGGGGTGTCATGAATGTGGGTACTCTCTCAGCCTTTATAGCTCACAGTCCCCTTGGGGGGAAGGGGTTTCATGAAATACTCTGGCTCAAAACCATTCATCACTGACTGGACAGCTCTCTGGTGATGAGCCTCTTGGGACCTAGCTAGGCTGATTCTTGGACAGGGAATACATAGCCCATCACTAGGCCTGTCCTGAAGGCCTTTCCTCTATAAGGTCTGCTCAAGTTTTAACTCTGCTGGCCTATGTACCCTTGGAGAGCTCAGGGTGACCTCTAGTCCATAATGAGTGATATTGAACTTGAAAGAGGGGTGTGTGTGTGTGTGTGTGTGTGTGTGTGTGTGTGTGTGTGTGTATGTGTTGGGGGATGGTATGGTATTTTATTTTGTTGGAGTTTTTTTTTTAACACATAAAAGAAGACTGAGGAATTTGAAAATCCATTAAAGGCAGTATAAACAATAACGTTGTTGCTTATGCAACAAGGGAAACCAGACCTCCTCGTAGGTTTCTACTACACAGTGTTTACTAGCATTAAGGGTCCTTGAATGTGAGAAAAAGAGCACTGGGTTGGAGGGGAGGAGAACCTTGGTCCTGGTCTTGGTTCTAACCTTAAATAAGCATGTGAATCTTAAGTCACCAAATCGGTCTGGACTTCAAATTCATACACTGCAAATGAAGAGATGGGACTAGTCTATCTCACCCCAGCCTAGCCAGTACTGTTGCCTTGAGGGCTAGAGTTGGGTGTCTCAAGTCCCAAGCCACTGACGGTCCAGGAAGCTCACTCACAAAAGCAAAGGGGAGGACAGCACACAGAAGATACTCCCAAAATCCAGCCAGAATTTTTTGCTGGGGGGATTTAATCTGTAGAGGATGAAAGAAAAATCCAGGTGTGAGACACCAGGAGAATCACACTGGGGATATCTATCAGTGACCACATGGACTGCTCAGTCCATGTGCAATGGTTATAGCAACAGTCCTTAAACTCTGCCACCTGGTGCCTCTTGGATCGAAGAGGTGGCAGGGTTCTAAGTCAGGGCTTGGCAGTTTAGGGGAAACCTCTGGAGCCCATCTGCTAAGGTGAAAAGAGAATGACTCCATGGATATTTGTATTAGTTGTTTGAGGGAGGATCTTGTAAGGTCAAGTGGAGTACTGACCAAGGGAAGCTAGAAAGGCAATGTGGTGCCATGGAAAGAACCCTGGGAGTCCAAGATTAGCTGAACCTCTACTCAAGCCTGGTCTCCATGAACTCCTGAAAAGGAACTGATGTACCTGGCTACTATCGGCATACCAGCAGTCAATTTAGTGGCAGTCTTGTGCATGTCATTGGGAAGTTAAAAATATCATGTATTTTATTTTATGCATTTAAAAACGTTGTTATGAGAAAGGGTCCGCATCGACTTCTCTAGACTCTGCCAAAGGGGCCCATGACACACAGAACAATTAAGATCTCCTGCAAGTCTGGCTAGATAGATGGATAGGAGGCCTTTAACCTGAAAGACCCAGTGGTCATGGAGCATTAGATCCGTGGATGTTCCTCTGCCGAAGAATGAATGAATGAAGCATTTACTAATTAATTGCTTATTGTACACCAAGCACTGTACTGAGCTCCGGGGACACAAAAGAAAAAATCAAACAAACAGTCCCTGCTCCCGAGGAGCTCATATTCTAATGAGGGAGAATACCCATCTGGAAGACGTGGCAGGTGTCTTGTCAGCTCCAAGGTTGCTGGGCACTCTCTCCTTGTCTAGCTTGCCTTGCCAACATTGATGAGCCTCAGCTGGTACAGACACCTTCCTTTGTCTGAGCTATCCAACATGATTCATCAGTCACTCGACATCATATGCTTTTCTGTCAAAATACACTGAATATTAATGTGTTTGCACTTGAATTTTATTAATTAAAAAGAACAAATGTGTGGCATGTGTAAGTGAAGAACTAGGAATAATTGTGGAAAACACAGTCTTTGTCACCTTTCATTCCCCTTTGTTCATTCCCTTCTTCTTTCTGCCTCACTGAACCCAAGCAAACTCAGGTACCCAGCTCTTCTCATTGGACCAGATGGGCCAAGAACACATTGACTTCGATTAATTTAAGAGCTCATGCCTCTCCAGAGTGTTTGCATTTTAAAGGGAGCAGGGCAGGGACAGGGGAAGTAATAGAGCCCTAAGGGTCAAGTTTTCTACCCAGTAGCATCTGGATGAAGGAAAAATGGTGGTGGTGGTGATAGAGATGATAGCCCTTAAATTATACCGTAGAGATAACTGGCCATCCTGCCCATGACTAAGGGTGGTTTGGGGAATGGGGTTGGGGCTGGTAATGGTGTGTTAGATGTAATACACTGTGCCTGGGCCTCTCTTTTGCATTTATCTCACTCTTGCTTGTATCATAATTATTTGTATAAGTGAACCCTGCCCACCATTAGATCCTAAGTTCCTTGAAAGAAGAATCAACGTATCTTTATATCTCATAATGAATGTCCTCACCCCTTGTGCATAGTAGTCATAGATTTAGCCCTAGAGGTAACTTGTGAGGTCATCTAATCCAACCCCCTTTGCTTTACTTTTGGAGAAACTGGGGCCCCAGGTATTAAGTGACTTGCCTAAGGTCACCAAGGTAGTAAGCAGGAAAGTGGGAATTTGAACCCATGTCTTTGGACTTCAAATCCAGACTAATCTAAATCTCTGACTCCCAACTCTTTCCACCAGGCTTCACTTTCCTTTAATGTTTGTCAAATTGAATGTGGAAAATATAGAAATTCTTTTAAAAAAAAGCTATCAGATTCATTTTACAGGATTTATTTTTGTTTCCTTTCTAGGCTATATTTTTTGAGTGTTGCAGTGAGATAGAAAGTCTGCTTTCGAGAAGTGAATACTTGCCCCCCAAAATTGAGGTAAGGCACCTAGGTGTTAAGACCAAACCTCTGCTAAAAATACCAGCTCTATCTCTAGGTAAACATCCTCAATACTGTGGAAACCAAAATGCATCAAACATATATAGTAAAGAATATCAAGAAACTAGACTGATATTCTTAATTAATATGGCTTAGCAATTTGATTCCAGAAATATAAAGACTCATGATGCTATACCCATTAATAACAAAACCCATCCTAAATCTAACTTTGGGCAGACCTAAGACACATGAAAATGAATTGTTATCTGAAGATGCACTGTTTATACTTCTGAAATACAGTTTTTATCACAATGCAGTCCATCGCAGCTTTTGCATATGAGTTTATCAGTTCCCTGTTCACTTAGAAACTAATCTCAAACAGAATTTCAGGATTCAAGATGCTTGACAAGTAGACAAAAATTGGGGGGAGGGGAAGAAGTAAAAAATAGAGAATGAAAATAGGAGCTGCAAAAAGAAGTGAGATAATTTAGCTGTGATGGCAGAATTGGATTGTTTAGAATCCCAAAGCTGGGGTGTAAGTCCAATGAGGATAGGCATGTAAGAAGTGACATGAAGTATATCATTAGGAAATACATGATTGTAGGTTCGGACATCTAGGGCTGGAAGGGATCTTGGAGGGCAAGTCTAACTCTCTCATTTTCCTGGGGCCTGGAGAAGTTGAGTGATTGTCTAAGGTCACACATGGGATCCTAGATGTAGAGCTGGAAGGGCCTAGTGGTCATCTGGTCCAGCCTCTTCATTTTACAGATGAGGGAACCAAAGCCCAGGGAGGTGGCAAATTGTCCAAGGTTCCACAGGTAGTATTTCATAGTGTCATAGTAGGCATTATATAAACACTAGTTATTATCATCATCATCATCATGACATCACACTTTTATCCTACTGGCTAATTAAGTGTGCATTTGATGAGCCATTAAATCAAGAAAGTTACTAAGTCATATTTAGGTCTACATTCATCTCTTGGATACATTCCTTGACCTTTTGTGGAATCTAGCATATTGCAAGGTCCTTTTGTAGTGGGCTGTCTCCATTTTGGGAATCACTCATTCTAAAGCTGTTCTGTTTCTCATTATATCAATATAGTTATCAGGGCTTATCATTCCCTCAATGGGTGCAAGACTTCCAGGCCCACTGAAAGTAAAAAAAAAAAAACCTTCCCAAACACTTGTTTTTTTTTGGGGGGGAGGGGTAGTGATTTACAGTCTGATGAAGATGCCCAGATCTTACAGGTTCACTTTTTCTGACAACAGTTTTGGTATAGCCTTGCATGAAAAATTGTGTTTCGTTAGTAAAAAAATAAAATTACCTTTTTCCAATCTTTAATACTTCAATTTTTGTATTGTCGTGCCCATGACAGGCACTTTTTTCTTTGTTGCAATGGTTAGCTACTGTTTTGGGCTTTTCTCTATTGTTCTCATTTTTTTTTCAACCTGAAGAAGCCTGTGCTTCACTGTTCACCCAGTTGCTAGCTCCCTTTAATGGTCTTATTTTTGAGGATTAATTAGGCTATTTCTTAGTAAAAAATTGTGAGTTCTTGGCATTTTATTTTCAACTTTGACCTCACTTTCTTCATTAAGGAATCGAGGTTACCCTTGGTTCTCACAGGCTGTGTCTAGCTGTAGAAAGATCCTAGGATCATGGATTGAGACCTGAAAGGAACCTCAAAGGTCATCTGCTCCCACCCCTTCACTTTATATTTGGAGAAACTGAGATCCGCAGAGAAAGTATCTTGCCTAAGGTTCTATAGGTAATAAGTTCCATCTGAACCTAGGTCCTTGATTCCAAATTTAGTCTATTATATCACACACTGCATCTTTCCAGACAAAAGACAAAATTCTTTGTTCTTCACAGCTTCCCACTCACAGGCCCACACCATGACAACCCTTTCACCTACTGGACCTTCCTGGGAAACCGTCTTCCTGTCCCTGAGCTTCTTCCTGCTTCCGTGCATCATCCTGCTTTCTCAGTTCAAGGCAGGTCCCCTCTTCCACTCATTAAGAAAGCAGCCACCTTTGGAATCCCACCAGCGAGGCTCCTTTCGCTGTCTGGGCTGGTGAAGGCAGCTCTTGCCAAGAAGGCAGGACACTGACTACTGCCTGAACTAGGATTAGTGAGACTCAAAGACTTGTCCAAACTTTGACGTGTATGAAAGCATCAGTGTCTGTGTGTCTCTGCACTCTAGCTGTGTGTGTGCCTGTCTCTAGTGTTCTACATTTCTTTCACCCCTTTTCCAATGTCTACTCCTAGAGATGAGGGTACTGAGTTTATTGTACCTGCAATGTATATTGCTTATCCCCTCGCCGACAGCCTGGGGGTCCTCCATAAATATTATCTGGTGGAGGTGATGGTAATGGATGCTTGAACAATTATTTCCTTTGTATGTAATATCTTTGGGTGAATGTAAATGGGAAAGCAGGAGGCTGCCTTGTTTTCTTTTTTGTATCTGTTAATGGTCCCTTGAATAGGCTGTATAAGAGCCTCTCATTCTGCCTTTATTCTGTGAGATATAATCCCCCTGTCCTCATGTGAAGAATATTCTTTGTGTAGAAGTTCATGAAGCATCCACTTAATATTCCTCCATTCTTTTGAAGACAATGCTGGATGACATTGGTTCCAGACTGCTTTTAAAACAATCCGCTGACTTTGATCTCGGTCTCTCACTGTTCATTTCTGTCAAATCTGACTAAGGCGGGGGTGGGGTGGGGGGAGGGCCTTAAGAAAAGGCCAGACTATTAAGGCAGTTTTCAAGATGCTAAGAAAAGACTAAGATATTGATAGCATTTTCAAAATGTTCGAATCTTCTGAGCTTTGCCGAGCAGCGGGATCAGGGTGAAGAAAGTTCTCACTCATCATGACTTGAAGAACCTTTATGCAAACTGTATTCTCAAGCAGAGAGGTGGTGGTGGTGGGGGGTATTCTGCCTACGGTGAAATGGGAGTGGGGAGGGCAGCCAGTGAATAGAGCAGGCAGGATGTGAGATCAAGGGAGAATTGTTAAAATGATGTCATCTCCCTATTGCCAGTGGCAAAGCGTCATGCCCTATGAAGCCCATGCATTTCTTCACCCTCTATACAGATGGATGAGTTCAAGTTTATTTCCATTTTCACAAGAACTCCACACTGCGTGGGGAGTGGGTTAGACAAGGAAAGGATCATTCAGCATATTCATACTTTTTTTTTTCTCTTTCAACATCAAACAAGTTATTTGTGTGCCTGCCAGATTATGGCCTTTCCAGACACTATGCCAGTTAATAAATGCAACTATATTTACATTTCTATACCATGAAGTAGGCTCTATTTAATTCACCATAAATTAAGTGTCTGCTGTATACAAGGCTCTGTGTTGGGCTGGATAATAAGGATATAAAACTAGATAGAAAGAGACCTTGCCCTCAAGGGGCTGACAATCCGGGGGGGATGGTGAAAGGGGTACCAAGGACAGGTCCAGGCAAAGCTTCTTAAGACATTTAAGTAAGAAGAGATCTACTTGTACAGGAGGATGGCAGAATCATAGATCTAGAGTGGAAAGGCATTTTAGAGACCTGGTCCAGCTCCCTAATTTTCCAGAGAAGAAAACTTCAGTCTGGTGGGACTAAGTGACATGCCCAAGGTCACACAGGTAGTAGAGGTCCTCTTTGGACAGATTCCAGAACCAGCACTTTCCCCTACTACACCATACTGGAGTCTCAGGGAAGGCTTTATAGAAAAGAAGGTACCCATAGAGCCTTAAAAGGAGGAAGAGTTGTTAAGAGATAGGGAGGAGGTGGCTGTCCATTGTGGCAATGCAGAAGGCATGCGCAAAGGCAGAGAGCTGGAAGAGGGTAGGAAAAGAAGGGACAGAGGCTAGTCCAGTTTGATTGGAATACGGAGTGTATGAATAGGAGTATTAGGGGGTGAGGCAGGCTGGAGAATGGCCAGCTCAGGATGTTAGGCAGTAGGCAGCCAACTACAGATTTTTGAGTAGGGTGAGGTGGTCAGAGTGGCGAATGCAGAGATCATGTTGGCATTGCAATGCAGAGTGAATTGGAAAGATGATAAGATAGAAGCAGCAAGGCAAGCTATTCCATTGGTCAGTCCCGGTGAAGAGAAGAGAGGGGGCTGGGCGAGGCCGCTGTGACACCGAGGGCAGAAGAATTGGCAGGATGGGCAGTGTAATGGACATGAAGGAGAGGGGAGAGTCCACAATGACCAGGATGGCACTGCGTGGGTGACAGGATGATTGCATCGATAGGCGTGGAGAGGTCAAGGAGTGGGGCACAGCGGGCGAGGGAGGAGACGATGAGTCAGGGTTTGGATGGGTTGGGCTGCATGTGCTAGGGCACCTTCAGGCGGAGATATCCAGCAGGCAGTTGGAAAGGAGGGCCTGGGTTTCTGGGGGAAGGATGGGAATAGAAATAGAGACTTTAGAATGATTTGAAAAGTAGATAATTGAAGGCACATGAGGGACTTGCTGTTGTCAGTCGTTTTTCTTTTGTGTCTGACTTTGGTTCATCACTCTCCTGAGTCATTGGTCCTCTTGGAGAATGAAGGATGAACAGCAACAATCTGAGGCTGGATTTGAGCTCCGGATGATAAGTCTTCCTGATTCCAAGCCCTGTGCTCTATCTACGATTCCACCTTCCGGGTACCTTAGTTTCTTGCTCTGTAAAATGGGGACAATTGTTGTGAGGACTGAAAGAGATAACACACAGGAAGTGCTATGTAAAGTCTGGTTATTGTTGTTATTATTAACCCCCTCCCAGTCTAACATCTATCCAAACCACTAATTCTCTCACTAAGGTCACTAATTTCTACTAAATCCAAAGACCACTTTTTTCCCCCGAACTTGATACACCTTGCTCTCTATATAAAATTTGACCCAGTGATCTACTACAGCCTTCTTCATTCTCTCTCTCTTTCTTTGGCTCCCAAGACCCTGCATTCTTGTTCATGGTTTTCTCCTGTCTTTTTTGTCACCTCATTCTCCTGTCCCTTAACTGT